TAACTTTTGCAGCTTGTTGGAACTGACAGGGACTGGACCAGCAGAAGAGACTTTTTTTTTTTCTGATTTAGGCACAGGCTTGGGGGAGGGCCAGGAAGCCATGGACTCAGAACCCCTTTTTATGGTGCAGAGGGGGTCACTTGGTAAGGTGGGTGAGGGGGGTGGTGAGGAGCAGGCTCAGCCGGAAGAGCAGGATAGATGGGGTAGCAGTGGTGCGGGGAGCACCATGAGCATGTCCTCTGTGGCCTGCTGTCCCTGCCAGTTCAAGCACCCTGGCAGATCACAGAGGGAGGGGGTGTGCCCAGCTGGGCCCCTCAGCCTAGGGAAGAGTGTGCCCTCAACTGTTCCCAGATCATACAGGCTTTGTTCCAAAGTGAGAAACTTGGAGGAAGAAGAGGCGAAGGCTGCCTTTGTGATGAATGAGTGAGAGATTTGGGTTGGGGCAAACAAAAGGTGAAGAAGAAGACAAGGATGCAGCCGAGTGTGGAGGGGGAGCTCTGAGGGTTTGGGTATATGGAGCTTGCACTGTGATGTGCATGGCTGCCTGGGACCAGCATGGTCTGCTGGCTCCCACAGGCGTAGGTGTGGCTGAGAGAAAGTGGCAACAGAGAAGCAGAGGAAAAAGTAGTGGAGGCTTGGGAGTGAGGGGGAGATGGGATGCAAGTGGCCAGTTGAGGAGATTGACAGGGTTTGGAGAGGCATTGGGGTGGGAGATCAGGCAAGGGGGGTTTGGTGATGCAGAGTGGGCCAAAATTGTTTAGGTCGCTCCATATGCCTGAAAGAGGGAGGGGTGTGCCCTGTGAACAAGAAGGCATGTAAGGGATTTCTGACTGTTTGCCACTGTGGTGGAAAAAGATTTTTAAAAACCAGTTGTTCTGGGGGCCGGGGAGATGGCTCAGTAGAATAAGCACGTGCCTGGCAAGCACAAGGGTCTGAGTTCAATCCCTGGTTCTGAAAAACAAAGCAAAGCAAAGCAAAGCAAAACAAAACAAAACAAAACAACAACAAAACCCAGTTGTTCTGGCTTGGTGGTCTCCCAGAGACCTAGGGTGTTATGCTCAAGAGTATTGTAGTTTTTGGTCTGGGAAGGACTGTTTCTCATAGTGATTGAATTAAAGGTCAGCTAAAAGGCTGAAGCTGCGCACTGAAAAGAAACATTATCCCTTTATGGAGTGGGACAGAGACTGAGAAGTGTCCATTGGCCCCAGTTGATCATCACCCAGGGGACAGAGGGATATCCTTTTCAGGGCTTAGAGATACCCTGAGGGCTTAGAGTTATTCTGGGATGAGGGGAATCCTGCCATGGGCCCATGATTTTTGACTGAGAGACTGATTGAGCTGAGGCTGGAGCTCCTGGACTGAGAGGTGGCTCACTTGTGAGAACTGAGAATGGTTGGTGCTGGATGGAGGCTGGCAATGGCACAGGTGGGGATGAAGAAGAGGGAAATGGTGGCTCATTAGCTGGGGTTTTGATCTCATTACCTCAAAACTGAGGTAGCCCCCAGGAGCTATACACCCCAACTAATCCGAGTCATGGCACAGCAATGTAAGGTTTTTTCTTTGGTGCAAGTGAAAGACAGGAAAGAAATAAAGAGGCCTTTATTTTTGGCACAGGAGGGCTGCTTGAAGAGAAGCAGGGAACCCTCAGAAGAAGGAGACGGGAGTGGGGTTTTATTGGGTTGGACTATGGGTGGAGTTTACATGGGCAGGTGAAGCATCATGTAGGAGAGGGTTGGAGGGTCGCTGGCATGTGTGTGAAAAGGAGACAAAAAGCCTATTTTGGAGCCCAAAGAATATAAAAGTTGATCTGGGAGTGACACATTGTTTTGGGACCCAATGCCATGTTGGATCACCTGCCATAATTACGCTGGCAGGGTTCCATATGGCCAGAAATCCATCACAGATCACCAAGAAGTCCCTGCAGGAGGCAGCTCTGCCATGCAGAGGCGGGGAGCCAGGAGCTAAATTCCAGGTGAGGGCCATACCTGTGACAGAGTGGTGTACAGCCACCTGTACTCTGCTTCTCTCCACACAGGGGACAGAGGATTGGTAAGGCAGTTGGTCAGCATCCTGGGGTGCACTTCAGCCTGTGTCACACCTCACCTCCAGACTGGTCTCCATCAGCTCCTTGGCATACCCTGGCCATTTGTCATGGTATGCCAAAAGAGAACCCCGCTTTTGTCCATGACCTGATTTGGCTGACCTCCCAGAACATGACCAGGATTCCTTGCCTTCTGGTGCCCTGGGACAAAGACCGATGGAGCAGAGCCTGGATCCTGGGAGAGGCTGTGATAGAGAGCATGACTCAGCTGTGACCCTTTCTTTCCAGCCTCCAAGCAGCCACTGAGCAGCAGGTCCCTTCCACACACTCACAGGAAGCAGTGCTTCCTTCCTCAGCTCCAAACCGTGTAGCGCAGATTCCTTGAGCTCACTTACAAGGTGCGGAGTAACTGACTTCGTGAGTGAGGTCTTTACGCAGCAGCGCTGAGCTCGCAGTACGCGCTCGGTGGACTTCAGTGGCACTGTTACTTCTGTAAACAGGTTACATTACTTGGCTTTAGTTTCTAGTTCTCTAAGTTGTTAATTTCAAATTTAAATGCAAAGTAAGTCGTTCTAAAAATGATGAATAAAAAGGAAAAAGATATAATACAAAAAGTGGTTTCAAGATTTCTCAAATAACATTACATTTAGCTTTCATCTTTTTTTTTTTTTTTTCCGGAACCAGAGATTGAATTTAGGCCCTTGCTCTTGCCAGGGAAGTGCTTACTCTACTGAGCCATCTCCCCCGCCCCTTAGCTTTCGTCTTAACAGGTTTTGAAGCACAAATGCAAGGCTGGTGGCTGGCACTTCATGGGCTCTGATGACCAGCAGCACTCCCAAGAGAGAAAAGCCCTCCCCCATTTTAAACACAGCATTGTGCCTTCGGCTCTTTGCATATCTACACGTGAGGGTTAAGGGAAAGTAATTGCCTTTTTAACTTTTATTCTTTTTTATCAAAATTGAAGAAGGAAATGAATAGGGGCTGTAGAGGTGCAAGATAAGCTTCCACATCTTTTTTTTAAAATTTTTACTTTATTCAGGGTTTTGCCTAATATTTCAGCTCACGGCATTTAGAGATTGTATTTAACTTATCACTGAAGTTCTTTTGTCATGGAATTTTAATTTTTTTTCCTTTGAGTTATCTAGTTTTTGCTTATTTGGTGAGTTATATGAGCTCAAAAGAACTTTAAATCAATCTTACTTAACATACTCAAGTCAGTAAAAACAATTTAATATGCGCTACTTTTAAAATTTTGAAATGAAACTATTTTATAAGATATATTATGATAAATGTACACTATTTGTTATGAAATGATTAAATCAGACTATTTAACATAAACTATAGTTCAAACTTGAAAAAAAAGTCCAATCACAATGTAACCTCAGAAATAAACATTTTTGTTGCTGTGCAGGTAGTAGATTCTCTCAACCCAGAAAGAATTATAAGATAGACGTTCAGAAGAAGACTAAGAAAAGCATTTATTGTAGAGTAAGGGAAGAAAGCAGCACTTATTGAAAAGCAAAAACAAAGAGCTCCTAGGCAAATAAATACACCTGGGTCAGAGGACGCGAAGGGGAAGACCTGTAGGAGTCTTTGTTTAGGGGTTTTCATACACAAAAGTGACTACCACTCTGACAAATTGAGGTCAGCATTTGGGGCTACCAGCGGGAAAATCTGACACGGAGGTGGACCTGGAGGGCTTCAGCAGAATCTGTAGTAGGCGAGCTCTTTTTCTTTAATTAACTTTATTAATAAAGAAATAGCAATGAGACTGTTTCAAAACAGATTAGTAGGGCAGTTACAATTATTAATACATTGCATATTGTTGTCTTCATGGTAGTTATTCATAGTACAAAATGCAGACATATCTTGTCTAAACACTATTAGCACGAATCTTTTTCTCATTGAACTAAGAGAAAATAGCTGTATATTTATCCTATTTTGTATACACAGACATATATATCTATATATAGATGTATATATTATATATATTTTTTCACTACAAAATGGGCCTTCATTTATATCCCCCTTTTTTGTTTAGTTTTGTCAGACACTGACAAAAGATCTACAAACTGCTGTACAGGGTTTCAGGGTAAATCCTGAGGGGATTTGACTGACCTTGGCAGATACAAGTTACATTTTTGTTATATAAGTCTTGCTTTATCTTGGTCTTAACCATTCAGCAGAAAAGTATAAATGTCCCGCCTTGCAGGTGAGTCAACGGAGACCCTAGAGGGGGAGTAGGGATGAGAAGGGACAGGATACCCAAAGAATGGAGACAAATTCTGATCAAGTCTCGTTTATTCAGGGGAGGTGCTGGGTATATAAAGGGTGTAGGAATGAAGAAGTCTGGGCTCTTGACGTCAGCAGGTATCCAGGCAACAGAGGAAGGTCCCACCCCCTTGGCGTAGCAGGAAACTTAAGGCAAATAGGTGGGGTAAGAGGGAACAGAAGCTTACCTCAGTAGAAGAATAAAAACTTAAGAGTATGGCTGACACTATTATAAAATAGATACCAGTCACAGGTTTCCCACAGGTCCCCCTTTTTTCTTTAAAATTTTAAAGGCCATCATTCCTTGAGGGGACTGTGCCTGTCTTGGGTCAAGATGCTTTTACACGGGACTGAACTAGACCTTTTTCATCATAGGAAGGCAGGGCAGCAGAAGGCCCAGCTCCTGTCTTGGGCGGCGGCCGGTGATGCGTGTGAGCTTTTAGTTGTTTGTCTCTGGCTATCTAGTCCATTGCACCAAGGTGAGAAAGTCTCTTTACCCGGATTGGGCATCATCATAATGTACTCCTTCGAGGTCAGCACAACTTTCTCTGTTGGCCATCTCAAGCCTGTGGTAATGGACCTGTATGGGCTGCATCTTAATGGCATCCAGTTGTTGTTTAACGAAAGTCATTAGCCTATTGAAAAGACAGGGTCCTATTGATAAAAGTATTAATAGTCCAATCAAGGATCCCAATAGGGGGAGGAGATAGGGTAGTATTTCATTCCATGTGCCCCAAAAGGGGTTTTCAAATAGCTCTCTTCTCCTCTTACTAAGATCTTCTTGAAGTCTCCTTATTTTATCTCGAACAATACCGGACTTGTTTGCGTAGAAGCAGCAGCGTTTCTGCAAAGCCAAGCAGATCCCTCCCTGTTCTGCTGTTAAGAGATCTAAACCTCTTTTATTCTCTAGGACTACTTCTGTTAAAGAATTTATTTGATCTTGGATGTCTTGGATGGTACCGGATAATGTTTGTACATCATCAATCAGCTGATTAGATAATTTAGTATAAGAATGCACTGCTACCCCTAATTCTGCTGTACCTGTTCCCAGGGCCCCTGTAATTCTTAGTCCCACCAACAAAGGGATGAGCTGAACTGCCCTTTTAGTGCGGCCCGTGGCATAGTCAAAGCTGGGAATGGGCACGGGCTCTTCTCCAGATATGACATCTATGTCAGGCAACAAGGTAGCCATAACGCATAGCCCTGTCCAGTTGGCAGGTAAAAATGTGAAGGCTAAATTTCCTCTTCATATAAACACATGTCCCTTTTTTGGGCAGATAGGGCTACTGTAGTTAAATATTTGATTGCAGCTGGTGAAGGTAACAAATCCAACATCAATGGTAAAGCTATCATTATGGACGCTCCCCTGCACACAAGAAAAATTTTTGAACGCTACAGGTTGGACCCTAAGAGGGAGGCTAGCACTACAATTTGTGCTTTTGGAGCTTATGAGGTCTTGTGGGGTAAGATTAGAAGGGAGAGCTAGGGGCATTGGAGTGCCTAGGGTCATACACAGCCAACAGTCTTGGGCTAAGCTTGGGCTGGAAGCATTAAGGGCCTTGTGTGTGGCCTCTAGGATATTTGAAGTCTGAGTATCCAAGTCCACCCCTCGAGACTTGGGGAGTGCTGGGGGACGATAATTTATCTCAGGGAACATTTGTTCTATAATCTGTTCCATACGTTTTTGTACCTGTAGTTCTCTAATAGTGTCTTGGGGCCCACCGCCATCAGAAACATGTAACGGGGCAATTCTATTCCAGCAGACTGGGTATCCAGGGGTGCCTTCACATGAGGCCTGGGCATACTTGGATGACCCAAGGACTTGTGGAGTGGTGGACCAATCGCCCCCAAAGGTGCCAGAGGCAGTTTTCTGTAATATGGCAGTAAAGTAAGTTTTATTATCCTTACCCGTGCATTCTTGTACAGAATCATAACAAGAAGAATGCATTTCTGCTTTGTATGGGCATCCTGTAGGGCATGATCCTGGTTGGCCATTAATATTTGGTATTATATGGGGTTTGTTATAGCATTCCCAACCCTGGGAGTAGCCTCCTCCTATCCTGGATGTATACGTAAGGAAGGCTATTTTGTTGCCACAATCAGTGGACTGGGCGAATGTGGTAGGTTTGGTCTTACGGTTACCTCTACGACACTCACACGGAGGGCCAAACATGTTTTGTAGTAATTCATCTAGGTTTTTTGGAGCTTCTAGACCACCTCTTGAGAACCATGGCAGAATCAGCAATATTCCCAGTGGCAGGATCCAGGACTTTAATTTCATGATCTGAAAGAAAAAATAGGAGAATTTTCTCAGGTCACGCCTTCGTCCCTAGAGTCATCTGGGAGGTTGTCTGCTATGCCTCGGGTCTGGCCAATTTGTTTGACCAAATGTTCTGGTAGCCATCTTGCAAATTTCATTTCTTTAGAGTAGATACATACTGATCCCCAGCCCCCAATTTGGACCGGATCTGGGCCATGCCATGAATTTGTTAAGGGGTCTCTCCATAATACTGAGGCAAATTGCTTTTGTGTTTCTGTGTGCCAGAAACGAGTGGCTGCAGATTGTCCATTGCCATCCAAATTTAAAAAATTGAGGATGAATAAGGAATGAGACAAGATATTTTTGGGTGATCCCCTAGTGGGGTACCATTCCCCCTTTTTTATTTTGTCAATGGTGACTTTTAAGGAGAGATGTGCTCTTTCAACTATCCCCTGGCCTTGAGGATTATAAGGTATGCCTTTTATATGTTGAATATTGAGGCACCTGCAGAATTGGGTAAAGGCCGAACTAACATAGCCTGGGCCATTATCAGTTTTTAATTGTTGTGGACATCCTAGGACTGCCAAGGAAGCTAGCATATGATTGATTACATGTTTGGTGGCTTTGCCAGTTTGGAGGGAAGCGTAAATAAAACCACTAAAGGTATCCACAATTACATGTACGTATTTGAGATTGCTGAACTCAGAAAGGTGAATGATGTCCATTTGCCAAGTGCATTAGGTATTAGACCTCTAGAGTTGACCCTAAGATGTGGGACTGGAAGATGTGTGGCACAGGAAGAGCAATTTTTAACTATTTGTTTGGCTTGTTCTCTGGTAATTTTGTGCATAAATCAGAGGATTTGAGCATTAAGGTGATGTAACTCATGTGTGTTCTGTGCTAGGACAATTTTATCAACAGTGTCGTTGATACAAATGCCAAATAATATATGAAGAGAGGTCTGCGGCTGGGTGGCCAGATCAGTTTTTTTATTTCCCTTGGCCAGGGGTCCTGGGAGCCCAGAATGGGCATGTAAGTGTCCCAGGAAAAATGGATGAATTCTTTTGTTAATTAATTTTTGTAATTGTCTGAATAGCTCTCCGGCATTGGAGGCAGTTTTGATTTGGCCAGCTGTCTCTAAAAATGGAACCGAGTGTGCAATATATGCACTGTCTGTATAAATATTAAGGGGCTGAAAAGGAAATACAGAGAAAACTGCAATGACAGCTTGTAATTCTGTTAATTGGGTGGATAGATCATTTGTTGTGAAGGCTATTGTATTTTCTTGATATGTGTAGGCAGCTATACCTGTAGATGAACTGTCAGTAAATATTACCAAGGCATTGTCTAAGGGTTTAAACGCTGTGACGGCAGGAAAAACAAAATCACGTCTGTTAGCAAAGTCAATGAGTTTATCTGGGGGATAATGGTTGTCTAGGAGGCCCATGTAGGAGGCCAGAGCGATGGGCCAAAACTCAGTAGTTTGCATAAGCCAGCTGATTTGTTCTTTGTTATAAGGTTGTATGATTATATCTGGTTCCTTACCAAAGTAACATCTCCCTAGTTCTCTACGCAAGATTATAAGGTCGGATACAGCTTGATAATATGGCTGAATGACTTGTTGGGTGTGGCTGGTAAATGAACCCACATTAAGGGTGCAGTCTGCCAAAAGACAGCAGTGGGGGAGAGCACTGTTTTGAATATAATAAACTTTAGAGGCTTATCATAATCAATGAAGGTAACAGTTTGAGAATGAATGGCTTGTTCTACTATATGTATAGCCTGTCTCCCCTGCGGCATGAGCTCTCGGGGGGATGTGGGGTTAGCATCCCCATGTAGTATGTCATAAAGGGGTTTTAACTCACCCTTACTAAGCTTTAAATAAGGCATGAGCCAGTTTATATCCCCAAGGAGCTTTTGAAAATCATGTAAGGTTTTGAGTTTGTCTAGCCTTAATTGTAGCCTTTGTAAGGAGACCTGAGGTCTCTTCATCTGAAATCCCAAGTACGTATATGGATCTGCAAGCTGTACTTTACCAGGGGCTATTTCTAGGCCCTTGTCTTGTAGGGCAATACGTAGCTCATCATAACACCTCAAAACCTCAGAATCAATTTTTCCAGCCAGCAATATATCATCTATATAATGAATGATGTACATTTTTGGCCAGTGATCTCTTACTGACTATATGGCTGAGGCAATAAAGGACTGACACAAGGTGGGGCTGTTGGCCATGCCTTGTGGTAGGACATGCCATTGAAATCTTTTTATAGGTTCTCTAAAATTAACAGCAGGCAAACTGAAGGCAAAACGTTTTTGATCATCTGGATGCAAAGGAATAGTAAAAAAGCAATCTTTTAAATCTATAATAACCTTAAAGTAACCTAGGGGTATGGCAACAGGTGAAGAGAGGCCTGGCTGCAAGGCTCCCATTAAGACCATGGTCTTATTTATTGCTCTAAGGTCTTGCAGCAGTTGCCATTTGCCTGACCTTTTCTTAATGACAAAGATAGGGGTATTCCAGGGAGAGTTACTGAGGATGATCTGGTCAGCATCAAGCTGCTCCTGTATCAGCTGCTCTGCAGCCAATAATTTTTCAGAAGAGAGGGGCCATTGATTGACCCATACAGATTCTTTAGGGAGCCACGTGAACTTTTCTGCATGGGCCACAGGAGTATCAACAGCCCCTAGGTAAAATGGCCTAATCCTGCCCTGTTTGTATTGGGGGTGGCTCTTATAGGCTCCAATATCCCTGTATTATTTTTTCCTAAACCTTGACCTAGTAAATATCCACTTTTTAACATCTGGGCAGTGACAACAGTATTAGAGCTACCCATAATCAGTCCCAGTTGGGACAGCAGATTTCTGCCCCAAAGGTTTATGGGCAATCCTTCTATGACATAAGGCTGTATGGTGCCCTGGTTTCCCTCATGGTCCCTCCAATTTAAGAGTTTTTAACTTCTCTCAGGATTTTGGCTTTGACCTATTCCCTTTAAGTGGGTCATGGTAGCAACTAGAGGCCAAGCGGCAGACCAATCTTCCTTTTTAATGATGGTGACATCCGCATCTGTGTCTATTAACCCTGAGAATTCTTTGCCTTCTAGCCACAAAGACATGAGGGGTTTCTGAGCTGATATAACTTTTGTCCAATAAACGTCTGACAGTCCAAAGTCCCTATCACCCCTCTGTTTTGACACTATTTTATTAGAGGTAGAAATTAGAGGTAGAAGTGATAATTGGGCAAATCTCTGTCCAGTTTGAATGGTATTGATGTTTTTAGGGGAAGATGCCATAACTTTTATTTCTCCCTCAAAATTATTATCTCTGACTCCAGGGAAAACCTGTAGCCCATTAAGGGTTGAGCTACTGCGCCCCACTCTAAGGCCAAACATATCTTTGTGTAGTGGGCCAAAAACCCCAATGGGGAGGGCTTGTATCCCCATATCAGGAGTTAATACTGTGTGGGTGGCGGAACTGAGGTCCAATCCTGCGCTTCTGGTTGTGGCTCTGAGGAGCCCTGAAATGGATTGTTGTTTGGTGGAACAAAATTGACTGCCCCAAAGATTTGCTTGGGTTTGGGGGCCTGGGGCTGGGCCCTGTTCCGGTTTCCCTGCAGTGGAGGCAGATCATTGCCATCAACATCCTTTTTAGACCTACACTCATTAGCCTAGTGTTTTCTTCTTTTACACCTGGGATATAATCCTCGTGCCTGGGGTTTGGAGCTAGTTTTTGTGCTCTTTTTACAGTTCTTTGCATAATGGCCAGCCTCTCCATAGTTAAAACATTTGATTTTGTTTTATTGAGATAAAAATTGTTCAACTGTATGTCCCTGAAGAGCAGCAGCCATGGCAAGACCCTGTTTTTTTGTTTTTTTTTTTTAGTTTATTATTATTTTTTATTTATTTATTTTTTTATTTTTCAACAAATAATACACTGCATATATTCTTCTTAGTGGTTAATTGCTGTACAAGATGCGGACTTGTGATCCTATTTACAAACTCCATTAGAACAAATCATTCTATTCATTAACAGAATGCAACTATATATCTATCCCAACCACTTTGAATACACAGATACAAAATGGACATTCATCTGTATACCCCATTTTTTCTAAGTTCCGTTATTGAAAAGACCCTGTTGATAAGCAGACCCAGTGTCAGAACAGAGGCGTATATAGCCCGTCAAATTGGCCTTCTTTTTGCATGGTCTAATGGCAGCCTGGCAGGTAGCGTTAGCATTTTCAAAAGCCAATTGTTTAACAAAATCTGTACCTGCATCAGCAGTGCCAAAGATCCTCCCGGCTGCAGTAAGCAAGTGGTGGACAAATTCTGCAAAAGGCTCCTCCGGTCCTTGCCTAATGTTAGTGAGGGAGGAACTTACATCCCCTTTAGTGGGCAGTTTCCTCCATGCCTTAGCAGCAGCTGCTTGAATTTGAGCATAGAGACCTGTATTGTACCGCATTTGCGCATCCTTGATGGCATAATTGCTGCCTCCTGTTAACATATCAAAATTCCACCCGTTGCCAGCTTGTGCATTTCGATTGGCAGTATCTTTGCAATTTTCCATATACTCTGATTCCCATGGGAGATAATCCCCCCTCCCTCCCAGAGGGTGGCTCTGGCTAATGCCTGCCAGTCCTCAGGAGTAAGCCAACTGTTAGCCATGGTTTCTAAAATGGCTGTGCTGTATGGAGCCGTGGCTCCGTATTGGGCAACCGCCGCTTTTAGTTCCTTTAGTACTTTAAAATCGAAATTAGTGTAATGGTGCCAAATCTGTCCTTGAGCGCCTGTTGTTTCTGACACTGGAAATGCCTCTGCCTTATCTAGATCTATGGGTGGGTCTAACAGGAGGGAGCTTTTGGGGATAGCACCCCTCACGGTGGCCTTTGAACACAGGGGGCCTTTGCCCAGGTTGTACTTTCACTTGTGTGTTTTCCTGTTTTTAATCTTTCTAATTGGATTATGAAGTCTTGATGCTCTTTTTCTAATTTTATCTGTTCTTTGAGAAGTTCAATTTTACTTTTTAATTCTTTTCTGGGGTCAGAAGCCGAACACGACGAAGGAGGCGCGCTGGGATCAGAGCTATATGGCGGAGGGCGCTGAACCTCGGCGGCCCCTCTCGGTCACGATATCCAGCGGCTTCCTCCGCCAGTTCATCCCAATCAACTTCATTATAATCAGCTTCAACTTGAAGAGGCCTTGGCAACTCAGCATATTTTATAACCTTGGGTTTGGCTTCTTCCAAATCAAAGGGGTTAATTTTCTCCTCAGGCTGTAATTCTGAATCTGGCGGCTCTGGTTTCTTAGTTTCACTTTCAAGGCTTTGTTCCCTAAATGGGGGGCGGGCGCCCTTAGAGGGCTCTTTGTTCCCTTTTTGTTCCTCATTGTCCCCTTCGTCATGGCCATCAAAAGACGTAAGATCTTCCTCTCTATTTTTTCTGTCTGTTTGTTCTTGTTCCTTTTGTCCTTTAGGATGGGTTTTGCCTTTTTCTCCCTGTAGTATATTTTCACCTTTTTTTTCTTTTTTTCTTTTCTTTTTCTTTTTTCTTTTTTTTATCACATTAGCAACAACCGGGTCACAGTGTCTCCGGGATAAAATTTCATCTATTAAATTCCAGTAGGAGAAACCTGTGACTGGGACCTTTTCAGGTCCAAAAGTCTCATCATAATCCTTAAGGGCATCACCAACCCTTTTTCATCACCTCTGATCAATAGTTCCTTCGATAGGGAACCATGGGCAAACTTGTTTAATATATTCAAAATATTGACACAAATCTTTAATTTTAACCTTTACTGCTCGTGTCTTTAAAGCCTGCCTAAACTTTCAACAAATAATTTATGTTGGCTTAATGTCTGGCCCATAATCGCCGCTCACTTACCAAGGCCTGGAAAACGCAGCAGGTTCCCGCGTTGACCGATCCTCTATCTTAACTTTTGCGTGCTTTATGAATGGGAGTCCCTCACAAATCCCCCGTTCTTGAGCCACTTTGGGCACCACTTGTCCAGACCTGCGGGTGAGTCAACAGAGACCCTAGAGGGGGAGTGGGGATAAGAAGGGACAGGAGACACAAAGAATGGGGCCAAGACAAGTTCTGAGCAAGTCTCATTTATTCAGAGGAGGTGCTGGGTATATAAAGGGTGTCGGAATGAAGAAGTCTGGGCTCTTGACATCAGCAGGTATCCAGGCAACAGAGGAAGGTCCCACCCCCGTGGCATAGCGGGAGACTTAAGGCAAATAGGCGGGGTAAGAGGGAATAGAAGCTTTGCAGAAGAATAAAAACTTAAGAGGATGGCTGACACTACTATAAAATGGATACCAGTCACAGGTTTCCCACATATCAACACAGGTATAAAAAGTAAAGCCATATTGATATGCTGAGCTGTAAAAGGCTCAAGTCAACAACTTCTGACATTGCCAGTTCTGTAGATAACCCATTACTATTATCGACTACGGGACTATATTGGACTAATTGTAACTTTAAACAGTCAATCTAAGGAGATCTTTGTCTGGTGAGCCCCCAGGTATGCTGGCCGTGGTCATTTCAGGACTCTTTCTAACTTTCTTTGGCTCAGGTGCCCTGGCTGTCTGATCCACTTAGAGACCTCTCTTTGCCAAAATGCTTCCCACACCACCCTCTCCTCATGGGCCAGTGTTACCCCACAGGGGCCTGATCCTCCACAGAGGTTCCTGTTGGGAGCCCCTTGTTAGGTTAGGAAGATGACATCTAAGCCTTACAAAATAGGACCTTAGCCCAGCCATGCCAGCATGGTGGGCTCATGGTTCATGTTTCCCTGAGTCTCTTGTCACTTTGCTTCACTTTTCAAACTGTTATTTGGGTTTGGGGAGAAATCCAAAAGGCTAGTGACAGAAGTTTATTTTTATTAAAAAAAATTTTTTTTGTCATTTTCTTCTAAACATGTTGGTAAACCAAGGATAATGGATCTCAAATTTTATTATACATTTTAAGTTAACTGTTCTTATCATAGTCAAAACAAGAAGGTAATGAAAACCTCCTTTAACATTATTAGTCATGTTACATTCAAGGATTATGATGCATTATAGAAGAAATTATAATCTATATAATTATATGATTATAATTATATATTATAATCTATATCTATAGATATATATTATAGATATTATCTATATATCTATAGATAATATCTATAATTATTATCTATATAATTATTCTTTCCCTGAAGGATTGGGAATCACAAAATGTGATAGTATTTCATTACAGAAGTATGTACTGCACTATGAGGCATGCTCAGAGAGAGGTAAAGCTGAGAAATAAATTGTCTTCAAATGAATTACCCAAATATTTGATGTTTCTTTCAACCCAGAACTTTCATCTCAGTTTCTAATATCAATCAGAATCAACAGTGGAGTTGTGTCAATTTATTTGTGAGTGTCTTCAGCTTCCTAGTCCTTGACTATGGTGGGAAGCTATGTCTTTGTTACTTCACAACTTCTTTGGCCTGGAGTGGGTTGTTCTCTTGCGGTTAAACTGTGTATCTACCAAGTCATAAATTAGCTGCTTTTACTGAAATTATCTAAGACTAGAGACTTGTCTATATGTTAGATCACTACAATTTATTTATTTATCAAAGGAAAATTTCATTCAGTTCATCTTAAAATACACATGTATATAATTTACATATATGTATATAATCCATCTCTGGTGAGTAGCTTTCTGTTTCTGTGACAAAATACCTGGAAGAAATAATATAAAAGGGTTAATTTTTGACCTTTTGGAATGTTTAAGATCCAAACTCTTCTTTTTGTGTATGTATGTACATATGTACATACGTATGTATGTATCTACCTACCTACCTACCTACCTACCTACCTACCTAGCTAGCTATCTTTTATCTATCTATCTATCATTAGTTCATTTTCTTATCTGTTATAGAGCCCTTAGTATTTTTCTTGGAGTATATGTTTTTATTTTCTCTGTAAAATGAAGTTCATAACTTCTTTCATTTACTTTTCCTCCCTCTTAAAGCCCCCAAAGGGAGTGTCAGATCTTCACTGCACTTCTCTTGCCATTGCATCTCCTAAGGCCCTCTTTGAGGTTGCCAGGCCTGAGATGCACCCCATTCCTTCACATGTGACCAGGTGCACCACATTGGTGTAATCTAGGGAAAGAAAGGCATCTAGACAAAATAATAGCTCCTCTCTGGTCCTGTTTGGGGGCCTCTGTTTCCAGTCTTATGGAGAGGATCTCCAGAATCTAGCCTGTGATTCCCTGTTCTGCTTTCTACAAAGATCAAGTATATGTTCATGTCAAAAGAAAATTTTGCTCCTGTCTGATGGAGACCACTATGAAGTGACTCTGAGCGGGCTTTAGTATTTACCAACTGACTTTCCATGTTTATGTGTGAGTCTCTCAAGACCTAGGCCCCTTTCCTGGAGATGGAGGCAGACTCATACATAGTAAGTGAATCTCCATGAGTCATTGGTCCTGACTGACTGAAGCCTACAGTGGCCTGCGAAGCAAAGGGCAAGACAAGGCCACAGCTAAGAACACCTGGCTCCAACCTCAATTAACTAGATAAAGATTAGAGCTGCAGGCCTCTCACTCTTTGGTGGAGACCTTCCTGGAGATAAGGTAGTTCTCCTAAATTAACCTAACAGTCTTACTTGGAGAAGAGCTTGAGCTGACTCTCAAAGTCTTTGAATGGCAGGGCAGAGTCCCACCTTTCTTTAGTATTTCCTGCCTTGGTTTTGATAACTGAATAGATGTGGACCATCCAGAGAAGATCTTTGTTTTGGCCCTCAGAAAAATCTCAAATTCTGTTAGATGGTTTTGATCCTCCTGGAGCCTTTAAATCATACACTTGACTCATTTATTTAAGCCCTTACCATTCACTTGTTTGGGAGATTGTGGTTCTGATCAGTCTGTAATAACTAAGGGGTCATATTAACATGATACATGTATTTTATTAAAGAAAATTTCCAAAGTAATATAGCCACATGGTAGGTACACATTAAATATGAAAAATCACATAGGATTAAGTAATATTAATATTTTCTGCCCTAACTGCTTGCTAGTACCTGTAGCAATCTTTTAAGAATGATTTTATTTTTAAAAAATGATTTTGTTTTCCCCCTTTTCCCTATTTCTTCAATCAAAATAATGATTATATGTCCACTTATATATTTATTAACTTTATAAAAGATGGAATGTTAACTCGAAAACACTAGCATTACTGCTCTGTTCTCCATCAATGTGTAATGTATTATTTAAATTATAATATTAATTGCCTTTGTACTTGGAAAGATGCATTCTTTTTCTCCATGCTCTCAGCAAGCATTTCAACACTTTTCATGGAAAAAGAGAAGGTGAGCATCCCTGGCTATCCTTCTCATTTTATGAGGCTCATTTTTATTTTTTCATTATCAAGATCATTAACATATTATAAAAGACGTTTTGAATAAAACATCTAAGTAAGAAGTTTGTTGAATTTTGTAAATTTGGAAAGAAAAAGTTTTAGATATTGGTGAGGCAAAGGTGCCACACATTTCAGTCATGCGCACACATACACATGTACACACATGCGTGCAGGCACAAACACTCACACAATCTTCAACCCTAGGTAGGCATTTTTTATTAATATGCAGCTGAATAGAAACCCCTTCCATTGCAAATAACTTCTGATAAAACAACACAATACAGGTGAAAAACTATCTCCAATTGACAATTACAAATGCCATTACAAATCTGCTTTTCAGTTACCCTTAATTTGTTTTGTCTAAATTGTACTTAGATATGTAAAAGAGGAAAAAAAGTAAAAAAGATTTTGTAAAAAATGTTAACAAAACCCCAATTGTTTCTCTGAAATAATACCTGTAGAATATAACACATCCAACTTAAAGAAATGGCTTCAACAGGTAGCAATAAAAAAGAGTGACAACATAATCACACGGTTGGGTGTTGGCTTCCATGTTTATTATATATCACCAGGCCATTGTCTGACATGTTTAATGCATTTTATTTAAGCACATCATACTCACAGATCTCTTAATAAGACACATTCATATTTTCAGATGTTGACGCTTTTCTAAGGTTGGAAAAACGGATCTTTGCTACTAAAAGTGTGGGCCAAAAGTGGTTGGCTTGTGGGCCAACCCCAGCTGCAAACTAGTTAGGCAAGGAAGATTTTACCCCACCTCCCATATTTCTATCAAGATTTTCAGATGACTCATGAACTCATTACAATTTAGGAAATAAGGTTGTCTACTTGCTTAGTTCTACTGTTCTCCTTTCTCATGTGGACCTGGTGTCAGACACACATCTCCCTTGTCCAGGTGAGATTATGTTGAAGAAAACTAGTGTAAGGGCAGTCTGTACATCCCCCAAATATCAACCTTAAGGTGCATGGGCAGAAGACAATTCAGAACTTTCACTCTCACATTCAGAATCATTTCTTAAATACATCTGCTTCTGAACTCTAAACTCTATGCAGAGGATAACTGTACTTCTCTTAAAAACATTGTTCAGCATAAAATGCCTTTTACAGTCAATTACATCAGAAGAATGGCTGCTAAGGGAAAAACCAGGTGCTCCTGGGTCTTCAGCCTGCTCACCATTAGCTCAGGACAATACCATGAATGATTATTTCCCACTCCTGTAGGATGCTGTATCACCAAAGAATAGGCTCAAGGTTAAGAGTTAACCATCAGAATGTAAGGGTTGGGGATGTAGCTCAGTGGCACGGCAGGTCCAGAGTTCTTTTCCTAGTACCAAAACAAACATGACATACTTAGTACTGTCAAATATCTCCTGAAACAACAAAATCACTGCATTCAGAACTAAGCAATGTGTGACTTACACCCACTCTATGTTAAACTAGACTATTCCCATCTGCCATCCAGTTTGTGGAGAATTTTTATTGCTAAGTCAACAAGGAAATGGAAAGCAGCCTAGTGACACTTATCCAGATGATTATGAAGGTATTTAACCTCTTTGCTGACTTTGGATTAACATTAGAGACTGACTCTACATTCAGACCTCAAACCTCCCTCATAAACAGAGCTCTCATCACATATACTATATAATTTGCAATGTCAGACTGTGCTCCATAAACACATATATGCTAACCCAACATTTTAAAGTAATGTCTAAGAGGATGGAAATGTTAACAGTGCTGATTGATGGTTATACAATGTACACATGTATGGCATTATCACAGCATCCCATGAATGTTCTATTATAATAATAATTATTAAAAAGCCTCCAAAAATAAAGCTTATCTTCTCCAAGCCCCC